ATCACATGACATTCTCCTCTAAGTCCAAATCTCTCCTCTTACGAGGACACTTGTCATTGGATTGGGGCCCACCCTAATCCAGTGTGACCTCATCTTGATGACATTTGTCAAGGACCCTATTTCCAAATGAGGTCACATTCACAGGTTCCCAGTGGGCAAGAATTTTGAGGACACACTATTCAACCCAGAACAGCATTGCACAGGGTAAAGGTACAGGAGGCGACAAGCGGTGGACAGTGTGGGAGTTAGTTAGGGGGTAAAATAAATAGAGTGTGGAGCCAGGCCCACTGCGGGCCATCTGGTATTCCACTCTTCTCTTGACCACCCTGCTGGCCCCCCCACCCGACCACAGAGCCACTCCTTAGAGGTGGCGTCACTCACTTCCTTGTCAGGCTCGTCTCCAATTTGTACAGGTCTCCTGTTTGTTGTTCTGTCCCTGACCCCTTCCAGAGACTGAAAAGGCAGCACTTACCCTTCTCTCTGCCACCTGGTGCTCCTGGTGCCCTGGGTTCACAGGGTCAATCTGACCTGGGCCACGTACAGCCTGGGCTTTAGAGTCGCTCTGGGTCCAAGTCTAGACTCTGCCACTTATTGGCTGGACGACTCTGTGCGATCTACTTAACCACTCTGAGTCTCAGCTTCCCCGTCGTAAAATGTAGGCAATCTTAGTACCAACCTCACGGGGGGGGTGGGGGTCGATATAAAACACAGAGGCCAGCGCCTGGCATGTAGTAAGCATTCCATACAAGTTACCTTTACATATATCTACCTATGACCATCCTATAGGTTTGGATACCTTAATTCTGTCTCCTTCCAACCTCATCTCCTCTGGAGAAAAAGATTCAGGACATCTCCAACGAGGAAAAAGCTTGCCCAGAACTGGCATCACCAATTCCCAGCCAGAATGTGCCGGGCTCTGTGCAGAAGGGGGCCGGACCCGATGCTCTTGGATGCACTTTTCCAGGAGTGGGGCAGGATGGGAGCTGACTCATTCTCACTCTTCGAACCGGTCCCTTGTAGGATCAATGGTAACTTAAGCTCCTAGCACAGAGTGGCATACGGCTCACTCCCAATAAATGTTTGCTGAATGAATGGGGCATTTGACCCTCTGGCTGGGGACTGGGGCCTCCTGAGATGAGGATGGAGCAGAGAGCCTGGACGAGTGAGTTTGGACTCATTTTAAGATGTCTACCAAACACAGCAAGCCCTGCTATGGGGGACAGGAAGGAGAAATGAGTCCCTGATTAATGGAGGTCTCTGATCTGTCACTTGGGACAGAAGGGCAACCTTTCCCAAATCTTTATATAGAGTCTTAAAGTTTGAACTGAGGTCACTGAATACAGGTCTCTCTCTGTCTAAAGAAAGATAGACCGTAGAGCAAATTTATATTAAATGATTCTTTATTATCATTTGTTACTATCTGAAATGATCTCATTTACTGTTTATTGTCTGTCTCTCTCACTTAATTGGAAATTCTCTAAGCCCAGGAGGCTGGTCCATTTTGTTTACTACTCTCTCTCCAGCACGCAGAATAGTGCTGTTCAACATTTATTCATTCGGTTCCTTAATATTTAATCAAAAAATTAATAGTGAAGGATGAAATGAATAAATACTTGGAGTCGTGCTTCACTTCTATTATTTTAATGGGGTTTTACTATAATATTGAAGATGTTGTCCCATGAGAAAAAATACACTGAAAGACTTTTGAAAATGTCTAGTGAAGCCTTGACTGGCACTGAGATCATAGCCGGCTCCCTGGAAGTGTTTTTGAAAAACTGCAATAACTACTGTTGCAAGCCCAAGATCATCTCCTTATTAATTCCTTCTCAAGGTCTCAGGAACTCTCCGCATGCCTGGTTATCACCCAGCGTCTCTTCTAAAGCTGCTGAAACTGCTCTGCATCTTTCCCTGTGTTCTGATGATTAACAATGTCTGATAGAGCTACACTGCAATATCACATTTTGCCAGCAGGTGTCACTGTTTAATAAGATGTAACCCTTTGTGAAACCCACAAAAATTTAAGGGCAAAGAGTCTAAGAAATGAATCAATGTACTAATTCATGAACTCTGTAAGATCAAAGTTCTGTAAGGAAAGGTCCACTCTACTTAGTTTCACCTCATCAGAAAAATTCGTCTTATGTTAGGGATGCAGAATGGGCCTAAGTTGCATTAATATACTTCGGTGTTCTTTCCATTCTGGTGGATGCTGCCACACTTCTGCTATGGATCTCACGCTTTCCTAGCATGAGATCTTTTTGTCATCGTCAATAATGGTATCTCAAATGTACCTATTATCTTGAAATTCCTCTAACCCTAGATCGATGTCACTCTACCCCTGCATATGTCATGCTCAATTAACATTTGTTGAATGATTGCCCCCCTCCTCCCCAAATCCTGAGAAACACACAGAGCTATTCTACAGATGAGGAAACTGAATCTCAGAAAGGTTAAGTAACTTGCTCAAGGTCACACAGCTGGTAAATGGCAGGGCTGGGGTTTGCATTAGGCTTGTCTAATTCCAAACCCCTTGCCCACTCACTCTAATCAGCAAAAGGGACTCAGAGAAGATGGGAGCCTTGTGGGGGCAGCAGGGTTCTGCTCTAAGGGCTCAAAGGCCATCCAAGACATCTCTGGACAGACTTTCACCATCAGAAAAAGCAGCTGATGCTAATTTGCTATCTAATCATTTCTCCTCATCACTTTCCTAAAACAGATTAGAGAAATGAGCAACTTGTGCTGATGCAAGTGATGCAATGCGTGTGGGGGTGGGGGGCGGAGCTGGGGGCATGGCACCACCAGGAGCCCGGAGCCACCCCCTCCCTGCTCACCCCTGCGGAGCACAGATACTTGGTTTAAGACTTGAGTCAGACTTCAAATTCCTGGATGGTGTTTATCAGCTGATGTCACAATACTGCAAGATTATGTATCTTTTTAACAAACAATAGTATCAGCACTGATATGACAAGCATACACTCCTTTCACACAATCTGCTCTCCAAGATTGCGCAAAACTGCTCCGGCAAAACTGCTCCGTGACACAGCGGGTCACCCCTGGATGCTGCTTCCCAGCACCGTCTGGCCTACCTGCCCAGTGTCTCGGAGGAGAGGAAGGCTCACTCCCCAGAGATTCCTCTGGAAAATTTAGGTCAGCAGGATCTACTTACGTGACTGGCTCAGAGCTGAGATTGAAGATTCATGCTGAAAGAGGGTGGGGTGGGAGTGCTGAGGACTTCTAATTGGGAACCATCTGTTTCAGGGCTTCACATCAAAGGTGGGGTCCCTGGCCCCAAATGAACAGACCTTGCCCCTTGAATTACACGCAGTCTGCCCCAGTCTGCTCCAGAAGGCACCCTCCAGGATGAGGGGTGAGGCCTGGAGGAGTTCCACTCAGGAAGGCAGACAGCATCACAGCTCCCGGAGGACGGCACCTGGTGGAGGTGCACACTTGTCGTGTAACAAACCACCCAGAGGAAAGCACAAATGAAGCACAGAGGGGCTGTGTTCTTCAGGAATTAGACTAGGCTGGGGTACGCCACTAACTTGGGACGACCCCCTGCCATCCCGGATGTTTGCACAGTTCTCCAGGTGCCCTAAAGTCCTGGGACAGCTAACTTCTCAAATTGCAAAATGGCTCAAGAGAATCCTGTGCTCTTTTAAATTCCAAGCACCCCGGGGTGCTGACAAGGGCTGCCCAACCCCCACCCCAGCTGGGTTCCACCTTCCTAGGCCACTGGAACCTGGAGTATTAACTGAGCGGCCAGAATCCCGGCTCAGGCCAGCCCTACCCAGCGCAGCCAGTTGAGCCTTAGTACTTTTTAAACTCAAAACAAAACAATAGCGATTTTCAGCACCACGAGGTCAGAAGACATCAAGCGGGAATCTAAGAGTCCAGTTCGGCTCCAAGCTCTGCCACAGCAGGGCCTCTGGCCAGTTACTGCTTCCTGGTCTTGTTAATGAGTATAACAAGAGCCCCGGCCTTACAGGGTTATGGTAGAGATGGAATAACTAGACATCACTTGTAACAGCTTCTCCAGTCCTGCTAACTCCCCATTCCCTTCAATGGACACTACACACAGTGAGGGTGGAGGACGTAAGGCGCTTTTGCTCTTAAAATGGTAATTTCTCTAAAATCTTCCCAGTTCTAGGATGCGAGTGACTGCTCTGCTAGGGCGGGGGAAGGAAGAGTGAGAACCACAGGACACTCTACGCGGAGAAGTCCTCAGAGCTGGGGACCTACCTGGCAGATTGCTCATTCACTCATTCAACAAACATTCACGGAGTGCCGCCTGCTGTATGTCCGCGGCCATCCAGGCACTGGGGATGCCGAGATGCCCGGGGCCCCCAGGGTCTGGGAGTCCTAAGACCCCCGTCCCTACGGGTACCGAAACGGAAACGCATCGGGGGTGCTCCGGCTGGGCGAGAGTCCTTGGCTTATGTGCCGGCGCACGTCCTCCTCTCTCGTGCCCTAAAGCTACGGAACTTTACGCTGCTGGGAATTTCAGATGAGGCAAGCAAGGCCTCGCCCCCGAGGTTATTGAAACAAGCCCCAGCCTCCCAAGAGATTTCAAAAATTATTATTAGTAAGCCCCCCACCCGCACCCCCCGCTGGGGGCCTGGCACTGCCGCAGCCCTCCGAGTGTTGCAACCCCGGCCTCTCGCCCAGCGGAGGCTGCCCGGCGTTTCCCAAAGACGCCTCCGGAGGGACCGAAGCTCCGGCGCCGCCCGCGCGCCCCGGCGACCTGCGGGCGGGGCGGCGGCGGGGGACAGCGAGCGGGCGCCGGGCACGTGACGCGCCGCCCGCCAGCGCCCGGCCCGAGCGCCCCGCGCCCCGCGCGCCCGCGGCCGCCCCTGCGCGCGCAGCGCCCGGCGCGGGAGCCGGAGCCGGAGCCGGAGCCCTGGGCCCGGGGGCGGGGCGGGCGCGGCGGGGCGGGGCGGGAGGACGAGGAGGCCCCGCCCCCGGCGCTTTTCTCCTTTTTCACTTTAAAGCCTTGGGTTGCTTTTTCTTCTTTGCACAGAAGTCGCGCTCGGGCAACCCGCGCGCTCGCAGCAGGAACCAGGCTCCAGGCGCTGGCGCCGGGGCCGCGGGGAGGAGGCGACTTCGCTCCCTGCGGCGGGCGCGGCCCGAGCGCCCGAGCCTCCTGGGCCCCGAAAGCGGGCGGCGGCGGCGGCGGCCTCCCCGGCGCGGTAGGCAGGGTCGGGCACGGGCGCCGGGTGGCGGGGTGTCCGGGCCGGGGAGTGGGCGCAGGGGACCGAGTGGGTGGGCGCAGGGATCGCGGCACTTGGGGACCGAGTGGGTGGGCGCAGGGCGGGGCACTGGGAACCGGCTGGGGGTCCCGGCTGGGGACCTGGTTGGGGGTGTGAGGAGCCCTTCTCTCTCCGCGGGTCCCGGGAGAGGGGCCGGGGCGCCGCCCAGCGCCGCCGCCGCTGCTGCCTCTGCAGGCGCAGGCGGGTCGCGGCGGCCCCGGGTCCCACCTGCGGGGGCGAGGCGGGGCGGGGAGCCCGGCGGCCACCGCGCCGGGGGTTTGGGCCTCGGAGGCTGCGCGCGGCAACCCCCGCTGATTTCTAGGTGCCCAGGCGCCCCGGGGCCTCCGTTCCCGCGACTGCCCCCGCGGCCAAGACGGGGGCGCCGACCTGCCCCTCCCGCGCGGGGGCAGCGCGACCCCGCTCGGCAAAGTTAGTTTCGCTTTTCCCGCCAGTCGGGGCGCGGATCTGCAGAGCGGCCGGACTGGCCCCCTCTGGGCTCCTCCGCCCGGCCCGCGGCGCTTCCCCCGGGGAGCCCGCCGGGCGACTCCCGGGCGGCGCCGCCCTCCCCGCCGCCCCGGAGCCGCCGCGGCTTCTCCCGGCAACCAAGGGAGAGCCAAGGGTTATGTTAGGAAATCGATTAAAACAGACAAACCGGAGTAGCCTGGGTGCGTCGGTGGGACCGCGGGATAGGTCACCCCGGGCCCGTGGGATTGGGGACCTGGTAATGGTCCTATTTGAGTTCAAGGCAAAGGTTCCTTGGAATGCTAACGCCCCGGCATGACTTGGCCTGCGGTGAGAAACCGCTGCTCTCCTAGGAAGTTGTGAGTGCGGAGTGTGAAGTGTGCCTGTGAGTGTCTCTGGTGTCTTTGTGTAAGTGTCTTTGAGTGTGTATCTCTGTATGTTAGTGTGTGTCTGTGAGTGCATCTGTGTGCATGTGAGTGTGTCTCCATGCATCTGTGTGGCTCTAGGAGTGTGTCTTTGAGTGTATCTGTGTGCATGTGAGTGTGCCTCTGCATCTGTGTGAGTGTGTCTTCTGTGTGTCTGTCCATCTGTGCGTGTCTTTGTGAGTGTGTCTTTGAGTGTCTCTGTCAATCTAACTTTGTATCTGTGCATGTGAGTCTGTCTCTGAGTCAGTATGTCTCTGTGTCTGAGTGCATCCGTGTGAGTGTGTCTCTCTGAGTGAGTGTGTGTGCCGTCCATGGGAACCCAGCAGTGGGGCTGCTGGTTCCGAGAGCTGCTCAGCCTGACCTTCCTTGCTTGGTTCTCAAAAGTGGGCTGCGCTGCTGGTGCCAGCCGAGGGGGACGCAGGCTTGTCCGCCCTCCCTCTCTCTGCTTCTCTGAAAATGAACTGTACAGTTTGGGGGTGAGTTGGCAGACGCTGCTTCCTGAGTGAGTAATATTTAATTAAACGCTCCAGCCGGTAGCATCAGAAACTGGTCATGAGTTGAGTTTTAACAGGTGTTGATGGTAAAAGCGCCATCCCCAGTGACTAAGGTTTGGTGTCCTGAGAAGATTCTCTTCTGGGGTAGGACAGCTGGGGAGAGAGCCCAGAAGTCCTCCCTGGTTGTTGGGTGTGAGCAGGGGCTGCTCTTCCCTTCTCTGCTCCATCCTTCCCTGATTCTCCCCCTCTGGGTGGTGGAAGGTGCTAAATTAAGCATTAGGGGCATAGGCAGCCTATCTTACAGAGCATCCATCTAGGCCAACCATTCCTTTCCCAGCAGAGGCCCAGAGAGGGTGGCTGACTTACCCAAATGGCACAGCCAGGGCTATGGACCAAGTCTCCAGAGCACTAGTTGTTGCCATTGGTTACTGTGCCCAGTGCTGAGGTCATGGACCAGGCACTTCATGGCTCCCCAGCTGTAAAGTGATGGGCTGGATTAGATCATTTGAAGCACTCCTCTTGTTCTCTTACTGCTTTTTTCTTCTGCAGGGAGCGCTCTACCCAGCAGATGGAGACGGAGAGAGTGTGTGCGTGTGTTTGCGGGTGGGGAGGTGTGGAGTGGCTTAATGCGATAGCTTTACAAATCTTCCTTGTCTTTCCCTGTCTGGCTAGCACCAGAGAAGCAGAGAGAATAAAAGCAGTGGCACATTGACCACAGTGGCTCTGACAGCCACGAGCAGGGGCAGACCTGGCTTCAAGGAGTTTGGGGCTCTGGCACGAATCAGTGGGCTTCAGGCTCTTAGGAAGGAGTGGTCCTGCCAGGGGCCCCGGGTGATGTCACTTTGGGACTGGGTGAGGCTGCGTTCCTTGGACGGCTCCAGCAAGCCAGAAACCACCCTTCAGTGGGCTCCCTGGGGCTGCCTTGTACAACTGGCTCGCCGTGGAATCAGCCAGATGTTTAATGTCTCCTACGGAGGAGCTGGGGAGTGGGGTGGAGGTCCAGCTGGTGGAGGCCAGCACTGCCTCCAGCTCACTGAGGACGATGATGCCCTGCTCCCCCAGGCTGCGCCGCCTCCCTTCCTGCACCTGCCTCTCCTCCTGCTTGAGCAGAGACTTGCCTGCCGATGCGTTTTTGCATTTAGCAAAACCTCTGATTTTTACAGTGTTCATGAGCTTAGTCCAGGAATTTCACACCAACTCTTCTCAAGAAAAAGGTTGTGGCTGGTGTGTGTGAATCAATTTATCTTTTCATTCCTAAAGAGTTTGAGAATGAGCATCTTTATCAGACAAAAGCACAGGGCAGGTATAGATGTGCCTCTGTCTGCCCAGGCGTGCGTAATCCTGTCTTTCCCCCCACAAGCCTGACCGACGAAATCCAGACTTAAAGGGACTTTTGTGTGTGTGTGAGGAAGATTTGCCCTGAGCTAACATCCATGCCAATCTTCCTCTATTTTATATGTGGGGTGCTGCCACAGCATGGCTGAAGAATGGAGTAAGTCCGTGCCTGGGATCCAAACCCACAAACCTGGGCCACTGAAGTGTGGAACTTGAACCACTCAGCCACGGGGCCAGCCCCCATGGGACTTTTGCTTTGGGCTTTCAGCCTAGAGCTGTCCCTTTTCCCAGTTATCTGATAGCATCCTTCCCAAATCTAAAAATCCTGCTCTAGCCAGGTGCCAGGCACTGTGCTGCTTCATGGACAAGACCTTGTATGATGATGATGATGATAACAGTGGGAGACAGTACCAGGCTCTGATCTGAGTCCTTCATACATTCTCCCTTGGACTCTGCTCAGGAACCCTCGGCAGCCGCTTCTCCACTTTCTGCACTTTCTGCAGAGGCTCGAAGGGCCCGGCAACTTGGCCCGGGTCTCACTGCTGCTGCGTGGTGGAGCACATCTCTACCCCAATGTTGGTGCCCAAGCCCTTAACCAGGACAGCATGCCGCCTCCATAATGTTTTTGTCAGTCATGTTGTAGGTGCACCATTTCACCCTTTGTGCCTTAGCCTTCTCTTCAAGAAGCATATATTAATTTTTTAATGAAAAATTTTTATTATGGAAAATTTCAAACATATACCAAAGGTGAAGAAAGAGTATAAGGTTCCCTCGTGAGCTTCAAGTGTCAAGATGCACACATATGCACACACCTACATACACATGGGCATGCACATGTGTGCACACACCCATGCTGGATTATTTTTTTTTTATTGAGTTATTGATAGGTTACAATCTTGTGAAATTTCAGTTGTACATTAATGTTTGTCAGTCATGTTGTAGGTGCACCACTTCACCCTTTGTGCCCACCCCCCCACCCCACCTTTCCCCTGGTATCCACTAAACTGTTCTTAGTCCACATTTTTAAATTCCTCATATGAGTGGAGTCATACACAGATTATCCTTCTCTCGCTGGCTTATTTCACTTAACATAATTCTCTCAAGGTCCATCCATGTTACTGCAAATGGAATGATTTTGTTCTGTTTTGCAGCTGAGTAGTATTCCATTGTATTATGTACCACATCTTCTTTATCCATTCGTCTGTTGCTGGACACTTAGTTTGCTTCCACGTCTTGGCTATTGTAAACAGTGCTGCAATAAACATTGGGGTGCACAGGACTTTTGGGATTGCTGACTTCAAGCTCTTTGGATAAATACCCAGTAGTGGGATGGCTGGATCGTATGGTAGTTCTATTTTTAGTTTTTTGAGGAATCTCCATACTGTTTTCCATAGTGGCTGCACCAGTTTGCATTCCCACCAGCAGTGTATGAGGGTTCCTTTTTCTCCGCAACCTCTCCAACATTTGTTGCTATTAGTTTTAGATATTTTTGTCATTCTAATGGGTGTAAGGTGATATCTTAGTGTAGTTTTGATTTCACCCATGCTGGATTATTTTGAGGCGCATCTCAGATGTGATGTCAGGTCATCTGTAGTTACCTCCTAAGACGCGTTTAAGGAAGCGTCAGGTGGAGAAGAGGTGGCCTGTGACTCCACTGCAGGCACAAGCTGGGGTGAGTGTGCTCTTCCTGACTTGGAGTTGAGGATCCTTCTTGGCTGTGACAAGGGGAGGACAGCTGATTGGGGCATCTGTCTTGTGGCCACCCCCCGGAGCCTTTGGGAAACTTCTTGCTTGTTTTATGTTTTAAAAGTTCTGTTCATTGCCCAGCATTACACATAAATGAGTCTACTGGTCATGAGACAAACCACATCGACAACAGGCACAGGCTCCCTGGCCTCCCCTGGATTCCAGGGGGAGAACGCGCCAAGGCGACGCTGGGCCTTGTGCAACGCAGGCGTGGGGATTCGAGGCAAGGCCGGCAGCAGGGTGTGTGGAAATGGTTTATCAGCAGGCTGTGCAGCCGCCCTAAACCCGAGCTTAAATTCACCACGCGGGCGGTAGTCGGGGAGTGCAGGTGCATCTGCGCCCGTGGGGTGCCTCTGAGAAAATGCAGGAGGCTGTGGGTGATTTGGACCCAAGACAAGGGCGTGTGAGGTGTCAACACCACACTGAGTAGAGATCTAGGATCTACCCGGTGGCAAGGTCTCGACAGCTGCCCCAGCTG